AAGAAGGAAACCTCATGAGGAGAAGGATGAGTATTGCTGTGCTGCCACAATTAAAACCAAATGGAACCGAGAACAAACCCCATGGGAGCATGCGTCTCAGGAGCGAGAAAGTCAAATTAACAACTCTCGTACCTTAATGCAGGCTCCGGTATTGTTGTGAACAATTCACCAGAGCACAAAGAAAAAGCAAATCTGTCGTCATCCTCTTTCACCAACACGTGCCTCTGAATGATCACCTAGGTCAGTCCTACTCAATTCTTAGCCCTGTCTTACATTTTATTTAGTGTTTCGCTGTGAAATACGTTCCAAGATCAGAAGAAACGAGGAGAGGAGGCAGCATTTAACATTCAACAGCCTTTAAACATGGGAAGTGTGTAATTGGAGCTACCTGAACAGACCAGGAGGCAGAGTTTGAACAGCAGCCTCTTTTCCTCATGCTTTTTTAATGGCTTACGTGTGCGCGAGTACAAGCCTCCATTCTGAAATTGATAACATTCTAAATGAATTATCCTGATGCATAATGAGCGTTATCTCGGCCTCCTCCCTGAAGCCCGCAGCCCTGCGTGGCACGTTGATTTGTTTTGTTGCACATTAGCCTCCGTTCTTCTAGAGAGCTCACCGCTCCAGGCGTGCAAATAAGAAATTATCCTTGCTGACTAACACTCCTAATACCTCCTTAGGGTAATTAGAAATTATTAGACGGCTGCCTCCAATAACAAGAGCTAATAGCACTAACCGCCGACTCAAACCTCTCCATCCCAATCTCCTCAAACTGAACGTCGGGATGGCGGCACGCGGACAGACGGACCGATGGACTGGTGCTCTTCCCCGACACGCTCCCCCATGCTTGACGACTCATTATGCCACACGAGGGAGCGGAAATCAGACTATAAAATGAGCTTATCTGCAATAATGCCCAAAAAGATTTGCATAAATACGTTAGCGGTGCTTGGAAAGGCAGCATCTCTTTCTCATCTGCCCACTCATTCGAGAGATACCTGTAGGGCATCGGCGCTGCTGTGACGCGCTTGAGAGACCACACCGCCAAGCGCTAGCCCTTCCCGAGCATTCTGGGCGTTTGGAGGAGGAGGCGGGAGGGATTAGGGAGTAAAGGCCCGTCTGACGAACGGGGACGGACGTGTCGAAATAAGCACACCTTTAATAGACAAAACATTCGGATTGTTCCAATCCAATCTGCCTGAATCATAACCGCACACTGCGGGTTCGTTGGCCAGAGGAGAACTGAGCGACTGAGTCTGGGTTCTCACAAGGCTTTTCTCCAGTTTCGGTTCCTCTGTCGCCATTGGCTTTTGGCTTGCTTAGTTGGGGACATTTAATATTCAACAATATTCTTGATCTACCTACATTGACACCATTATATGAGAACTGAACTGAGCTGGACGATGACATTAGGGGTTTCTATATAAATAAACTAAATTAATAACTTTTTTACAACAAAAACTAAACTTACTTAAGCTGGACTGTGACACTATTTTCATCTGGAAACAAACTTTGTTGCATTATTTATCTCTGTAAAGCTGCTTTGAAAAAAATCAGCCGTCTAGCTGGCAGTGTCCCACAGGAGTGATTCTCCACAATGAGAATTAACAAAAACGTTGTATTGTAATGTTCGCCAATCATTGTTTTGTTCCTGATGTCCCATCAGAACAGACCTGAGCCTCTGGTTTGGGTCACGACCCCCTGCTTTACACAGCGCTGGCCTCAGTAACCCCTAACCAGCACAGAAACAAGGCTCAGACTCTCCTGAGAGCAGAACCGCTCATGCTATTCGGGGAAAACTAGTGTGATGGGATTATCACCTCTTAAGGGTGACTTCTTGGCTGACCCCCTCAGGCACAGCATGCTAAAACAAGAGCCCAAAAACACTCAGCGCCGCAGCGGTTAAAGGGCCAGCGCAGTGCAAATCAAGCGCTAGACTGGAGCAGGCATGCAAGGTATTCCCTTGAGTTCCTTCATCTCGCTGAGGGTTACTGCTCTTCGTGGGCACCAGCAGTGTTTAATCACGACCGAGGATACAGACGCAGGCTCCGTGCGGATGCGCTCAAATTCAATTCCAGGACTTTTCAAGCATCAATCAGAGATCTCACTTATCAAACAATATCTTTATTATCTTTCAAATTCTAAAATAATCTTTAAAGCATTAATTGCAAAAAGATTCATTAAAAGTGCAGCACATGCAAAGATTTCACTTTCTTCTTTTAAACTGATTGCTCCACCCATTAGTACATGATTGACCTGAGGAATGAAAGCTGTATCATATTTATATGAACAATATCAAACGAATATAGCACAGAAACTATTAAAGATTTCTATTGCAAATAATCACAGATGTGCCTCATTGAAACGCATGAGATATGCCTGATTCCCATCGGCCTCGTTGTGGGTCAGTACTGAGTTTAGAAAGAGCCAGTAAACCTCATTAAACACACACACATATGTGCAAGAAGCATAGTGGGGGTCCTAGTGCAGTTCTGTGTGTGTGTGTGCCCCTGATATATTACATTGTTCTCTTTCTGGCATAAACTTTAACATTAGTGAAGAGAATAAAGTCTGCTATCACAATTGGTCCTGCTATCAGAATATTGTCATTTTTAATATTTTATATGATTTCAGTTGATGTTTATTTTGAAGTTATGTATTATTGTATAGTTCCAGTTTTAGTTTAGGTTAACAATAATCCTGTGCTGTAATGACTCGTCTGAGAGTTCAAGGCGATTAAGAGATTCAAATATTGGTTGTTTCTGTTATTACTGAAAGACTGTGCACAGATCAGACTGATGCATCACAATACAACACTTCACAATACATCAGTCTTAAATGGTACTGTCTCTCTCTCTCCAGTCTAAAAACGTTCTTTTAGGAACTCACGCTTGTCCTGTCTTGCGGGTGTTGAGAGTGAACAAGCGCTTCAAGCATGAACATAATTGCAAGAATGTGAGAAATGAGGCATCTGTTCTGCTGGCTGGGGTGAAAGGTCACTGCGCTCTGCAGGATTACTGCATTACTGCACTCTGTCCTGTCTCACTTTCTGTCCTGTCTCACTCTCTGTCCCGTCTCACTCTCTGTCCTGTCTCACTCTCTGTCCTGTCTCACTCTCTGTCCCGTCTCACTCTATGTCCCGTCTCACTCTCGTCCTGTCTCACTCTCTATCCTGTCTCACTCTCTGTCCCGTCTCACTCTCTATCCTGTCTCACTCTATGTCCCGTCTCACTCTCTGTCCCGTCTCACTCTCTGTCCCGTCTCACTCTCTGTCCCGTCTCACTCTCGGTCCCGTCTCACTCTCTGTCCCGTCTCACTCTCTGTCCTGTCTCTCTCTGTCCCGTCTCACTCTCTGTCCCGTCTCACTCTATGTCCCGTCTCACTCTCGGTCCCGTCTCACTCTCTATCCTGTCTCACTCTCAGTCCCGTCTCACTCTCTGTCCCGTCTCCCGTCTCTCTGTCCTGTCTCTCTCTCTCCTGTGTTTGGGCCGGAGCTTGACTGGATCACTTGAAGGCAGTTCTGTGCCGTACCGTAAGTGTGTGAGGCAGTATCGACCAGCCGTTACTGGATCCAGTGTGTGAGAGAGTCAATAACTGCAGTGAGGAGAACAGCTCACTGGTACTTAGAACTTCAGAATGATCAATAACACTCTCTTCCCTCTCTCTCCTCTCTCTCCTCTGCTTCATTATAAACACATGCTCAATGGATGACGTTTCGTCAGTACTGGGACACAGGCCCCCATCATAACAGCCAGCACATATTTGGATACTTTTTAAATATTTGTTTTGGATATAAATGGATATAAATAGTTTTTACTTGTAGTATAGAGTATAGTACAAACGCACTAAACATATGCACTGACACATCCGTCAAGAGTCACTGTTTTGTCTCAAGATTCACACCAGTAATGATTTTTTCTAATGCATGTTTATAAAAGCTACTTAAATGTCCTAATTTAAGTAGACGCTCACTATCCTGTCTCACTCTCTGTCTCACTCTATTTAGAACAGATCTGTCTCTCACTCTCTCTGTCCTATCTCACTCTCTGTCTCACTCTCAGTCATCTCTCACTCTCTCTGTCCCGTCTCACTCTCTGTCTCACTCTCTCTTTCCCGTCTCACTCTCTGTCTCACTCTCTGTCTCACTCTCTCTGTCCCGTCTCACTCTCTGTCTCACTCTCTCTGTCCCGTCTCACTCTCTGTCTCACTCTCTCTGTCCCGTCTCACTCTCTGTCTCACTCTCTATCCTGTCTCACTCTCTATCTCACTCTCAGTCCTGTCTCACTCTCTCTGTCCCGTCTCACTCTCTGTCTCACTTTCTATCCTGTCTCACTCTCTATCTCACTCTCAGTCCTGTCTCACTCTCTCTGTCCCGTCTCACTCTCTGTCTCACTTTCTATCCTGTCTCACTCTCTGTCTCACTCAAATTCAAATTCAAATGAGCTTTATTGGCATGACTTATACAGTATTGCCAAAGCATTGGCCATTACATAGGCAATGAACAAATAATCATTAAATGAATCAGTAAACAAATGCATGAAATACATGCATATATATCAGAAAACAAACAAACAAACAAAATAAATAAATAAATAAATAAACAAACAAACAAACAAACAAACAAAAAACAAGTTTTTTAACCAACATTCTGACTTTAGTTTTGTCCACTGTCTCACTCTCTGTCTCACTCTCTATCCTGTCTCACTCTCTATCCTATCTCACTCTCTGTCTCACTCTCTATCCTGTCTCACTCTCTGTCTCACTCTCTATCCTGTCTCACTCTCTGTCTCACTCTCTATCCTGTCTCACTCTCTGTCTCACTCTCTCTGTCCGGTCTCACTCTCTGTCTCGTCTCACTCTCTCTATACGTCCTAACTGAACTCAGGCCTGATCCTGGCTTAATCTAACCCCTGTCTGTGACACCAGGCCTATATTATAAATGAATATGTATATATTTTAGACTTTTCTCCAGTTCGTGTGTCCTGATGTGTGAGCCTCACCCTGCTCGCTGCTGTTGTCTCCGCTCTGCGACGCGTGTCCTCCGCTGGACGGTCCCGGTGTGCCGGCCGAGTGTGTGGACGTGGCGTCGTCGTGATCTCTCCAGGACGAGGGATTCTGGAGATCAGGAGAGAGAGAGAGTAAACACACACTCTTATAAAGCTCATACATCTTCCAGGAGAGTTTCATAGTGAAACAGGTTTAGTGCAGTGGACAGATTACACTGATGTTAAAGTTTCTTTGTGGAACCATCGCTGCTGATAAAGAACCTTTATTTTAAGTGTGATGAATGTCTAAATACCAGTCACGTCACATTCATTTGTATAGCGCTTTTCACATCATACACAGTTTCAAAGCAGCTGTACGGAAAATCATGATGTTAATGTTATAATATCTTCATGCCTTCGTCGTATTGATCAGATTAGAGCTGGGCGATAATACAGCTTCAACTCGACAGAATCCTTCTTCATTCACTTCATTATTTGGGAAAGGAGGGCACACACACACACACACACACACACACACACATTCGTCATGTTTCGGGCCGCAGGGAAACAGGATTTGTACAGTTCAGGAAGAGTTTTAACAGTGTTACACACAGACGAGCAAGACGAGGAATTTCCCCTGAATCACACCAGACACACACTCAATCTGTGACCCGCTTACACACTCTACAAGAAATAGTAACACCTAAATTAACTAGTTGTAAAAATATATCATATTAATTTATATATATATATATATATATATATAAATTAATATGATGTGTATATATATATATATATATATATATATATAGTTTAAACCAAATAGAAATAGTTCTATAAGGAACAATTTCAGGTAGCCACTGTTTACGGTGTATATCTAACCATGAACCGTGTGTGTGTGATGCAAACTAACACATTAAACTCACACACACCATAAACACACACACACACACACAATATCTCCAGAAAGACAGACAGCTGCATTTATTCTAAGATAAAGCTCAAGTTTTAATCTAAGTATTTTTAATCTAAGTTTCAATCGAGTATGTACAGCAACACACACACAACACACACTAACACACGCACACACTGAAGTGTTTTTATGATGAGTCGAAGTGGTGTGTGTGCTGTTGTCAACCCACAAACAGAGCTCTGTTATTTTATTTATTATAAACTGTATTATGATGATCCATGAATGGAGCAGTGTTGTGTTAGTCAAGTGTTTGCATGTGAAGTAATGTAGTTTTCTTCAATAACCGCCGGTGTGTGTGTGTGTGTGTGTAACAGCCTGCACTGAAACACTGTTCAGATACTGAAGCAAACACACAGGAACACGCAGTGTGTTCACATCACAGCAAACTATCCAAGACATGTGTCAGGAACATTCCCAAACTGTGTGTGAATCATTCATAATGCTGAACACGGAGAAACAAACACACACACACAAAGGGTTTTTTTTTTAAAGTAACACATTGAAATAAATGTGTAATTTTGAAGCAGAAATTATATTAACATGTTTCGAACAATCTTTTAACAGCGTTTGTGTGAGATTAATATACTCTTGTTCATGTGTCACTGCTGCAAAAGTGTGTGTGTGTGTGTGTGTGTGTGTGTGTTCATAAGCTGTTCTGTTTCCTGCAGCCGAGATGCCCACCGCAAGACGGGCCTAAAAACACAGTTTCACTGGAACATGACTGCTACACACACACACACACACACCGGAACACACACACACACACATATCCATGCCATCCGCATCTTCCCAGAGTTTGCAGCTGATATCCAGTTTCCTCACGCCACTCGCCAGCAAAAAACCAACAGCCCTTTCCCACTTATGAATAATGCAGACTCTCTCTCTCTCTCTCTCTCTCTCTCTCTCACACACACACACACACACACACTCTCTCTCTCTCTCTCTCTCTCTCAGGCCTCACATCACAACAAAACAGTTGTCAGGGCTCCCAAGAGTCCATTAAAGTTCAAACAGGCTGTAAAGAAAGCGAGTGAGAGACATCGTGTGACCCAAACGGCTGAGCGAGAGAGAGAGAGAGAGAGAGAGAGAGAGTGAGAGAGAGATACAGAGAGAGAGAGAGAGATGTGGATAATTAGGAGTCAAACGCAGGCGCTCCTCTAATTGTGTTAAAGCGCGCCGGCACACACACAATAGAGCAGATAAAGAGTGAGATAGCGGGTGTGTCCTCTCTCGCCCGCCCGGGTCACACACTCACGCTGATAATAATGCATCATGAAATTAATGTAAAAGCTGGACACAACGGCTAAAGGAGCGTCCGACACACACACACACACACACACACCTGCCCTGCCCATCAAACATCACCAGATACAACACACTTCCAGAAAAATGTATGTCGGATCAGGAACGGCTGCGAATGCGTGAAGATTCACACACACACACACACACACACACACATGACCTTTCACGAAGCCTCATGTGCGTTCTGTTGCATTTAACATGTAATTACACAAGCGTTCTGAAAACACACTGAAGATCTCAGAATGATGTTCACACACACACACACACACACACACACACACACACACACACTGATGATCTCTCTGACAGGAGCGAGAGAAGAGCCTTCATGTCACACACACACACACACACACACCTCAAATACTGGGAAATCTCATGAACATCACACAAACTGAGTTCTGGATATTAATATCTCTCGTGTAGCGCTGCAGACGTTCTCCTCAGATTTACAGAACGCTCCAATATAAGGAGGAGACGCGTCTGACATGGTTGTGTTTTCACCTTTAACGGGAGATTTCAGTGTTTTCTACCGATAAAGTATGTTTAGCTGTTTAGTTCACAAAACTGAATTAAAACAAAAATTCATTAATTACAGCTAAATCTGTAAAATGATAAACCTGTATACCCTTTACACTTCGATACACAACCTTCTCTAAAACACAATCCGAACACACACACACACACACACACACACACTGAAGCAGATGCACAGCAACAAGTGAGTGTGTGTCCAGACGTGAGCAATCAAACACTGATCAGACATCTGAATGAGTGAGTTACACACACACCAGCTTCAGTCAGCAAGACCATCACACACCACTGCACATCATATTAACACTCCCGTACACACACACACACGTGTGTGTGTGTGTGTGTGTGTGTGTGTGTGAGAGAGATCACTACGGCACTCATGGGAAATATGTTTGTTTCAAAAAATCACACAATCGTCTTATTTATGTATAGCTTATTTATGATCTACATAAAAACTACTGACAGATACAAATAATTACAGCAAATAATCCCGATGCTGGTGATACACACACCTCACACACACACACACAAACAGAGAGAGAGGGCTGGTGTGCAAAGTGCAGATATCAGGACATGCACAAGACTAAATGTTCCTCAAACGTACATTAGATATAGCACACAGAGGAGCGGATATCATTTATATCATATTATATCATTTATAGCATATTAAATTAAGCAAATGAAGTGGAGACTGAAGAACAGGCCATCCAAACACCGGACATAGTCTGACAGCACAATACAAATATGTAATATTCAACAGAGAGAGAGAGAGAGAGAGAGAGAGAGAGAGAGAGAGAGAGAGAGAGAGAGAGAGAGAGAGCACAAGGCATGTCCTTCATCCCCAGCAAAGCAACTTTCACCAAATGATGTAGCCTCGGGCAAAATATATTAAAAATGCATATCAAAGCAAAAAAAAAAAAAAAAAAAAAAAACATGTATGGAGAGGTCCTACCTAAATAAATCTGCATATCCGACTATCAGACTGCTGTCCTCACACACACACACACACAAGACGGGTTTGAGCCTCATATAATGATGAAGTGCAAGACCCATGATTCTGAGAAATCTAATCCCTGTAATTTATTTAGATTTAGTAACTAATATCACCGCGACAGTTTCTGAACGTCTGTGTGTGTGTGTGTTGTGTGGATGTGGAGCAGCAACAGGCTACACACACATTTACTCTCATTAACAAACACATGCTCATGCATGCTATGCAAATGTAACGTTTGGACCTCAAAACACACACATTTACACACACATCCGATACAAAATAGCCTTCACAAACAGTCACATAAATATTAAAGCTCGTGTTTATGCATCTCGGAATCATCTGCAGGTTATGGAGCGAGATGTGTGTGTGTATGTGCGTGTGTTCATGATAAACCTAAATAAATTCTAGGCAACAAAGCGTTCGAAAAAATGACGAAATTAAAATTCGAACGTAATTCGATGCAGTCTCGAGACTCGGTCAGTGTTCCGATCAACTACAGTTTTCATTTTGTCATGAATTAATTTAAGTGAACCAAATAACACACCGCGTGTTTTATTTTCAACATTATTTTTACGCTCGAAGTGAGTTATATATATATATATACCCCTATATGAGGATTTAAATGATTGTCTGACTGTTTTCTCCCGGTTTTTAATCGATTAATTTAGTTGATTAATTTTATTAACCCCACCGATGCTGGAATCTGCTTTAACTCTTAAATCTTGGATAATATAGCACAAATCCTCGCAGAAAACTTTCCTTTCACATCATTTGACTTGCAATATCGACATCAACACATTTAAACAAAGCCGATGTCGTTTGAAATATAGAGATTGATAGTTGGATTGACTGTAATGAGATCGGGCCAGTAAAATGGACTCAAACCACAACTTAAAAAAAAAAAATCAATAGCTAAGAGACAATTAAACACATTACCAACATCATCATTGCAAACTACGGGGATGCATTACTGTCCAATACTTTAAACAGAACATTCCTTGTGTAACATTATAAAACGGCATAGCCACTAAAATATGTGTTTAAGCAATCATGCGCAACACCAGCCCAAATGATACACACATCCCAAAATATAAAACACATGATAACAGCGACACCAAAGACCAGCAATCATTTAATAGGTATAGCCATAATAAATACAATAAACACCGCGTTTCTCTCACGAACAAGTCCAGAAGAATCGCGTGAAACTTTCAGCTCAGTTTATTTTACAATTCAAGCTGATTTCAAGATCTAATCTCATATTGCATTTATCTCACACATATTGTAGTGTAACAGTGCAGAAGAAACGAAACCCTCGGTCACTTACATGATCGGCTAAGTTCGTGGAAGATCCCGAGAGTTCCTCATGGTCTGATTTCGAGCTTCCGTCCCGTTCGTCGATCACTAAATCTATGGGCATCTTCCCTTTCAAGCAGCTGATGTACCGATGGCAGAAGTTATCGCAGAGCTCGTGCACCTGGAGCAGAGGACAGGGGACACTCGGTCACGAGCAGCGCAAATACAGGACATTACAGGACATTATATTATCAGCAAACGAGGAAAACACCGGGAAATCACAACGAGGAAAACACAGAAATTACAGGACATTATATCAGCAAAAGAGGAAAACACTGACATTATGCGCATATTCTCCAGAGACACACTCAACAAGTTCACTGGCAGAAATAAACCAACAAATAGGCCTAACACACGCACATTTCGCACCAACTAAAACGTGTCCGTGAAACTAATCATTCATTTGAAATAAATATGTGTCATATTCCGTTTAAACTAACATCGAGGGAATATGGATTAATTATTATGAATTATAATTACCTGTTTCAATAACAATTTACTGTAATTTTGTCAAATAATATCGTTTATTATTATTATTATTATTATTATTATTAGCTAGCTATATCAAAAAGTGTCAAATCTGAATTACTATACATTCAAAATAAAAAAACAATAAAAAAAAAACAATCACAGATTGGTGATGAGCGCAGTAAATTCATCCGAATTAAATCTAAAAGTAAAAATCAATCCAAATTAATAAAAGATTACCTTTTCTAACTCCAAAAGATGAAACCGTAATACTTGTATGGCTTGTATCATCTGTGAAGAGAAGTGCATCGTTAGCGTTACGGTTCATTTTAATATTCGCTATCAACATAATGTTTACCAGTGAACAAAAAACATCCCAACATTAAGAAATAATTCGAGAGTTAAAAATGTGCTTTAGAAATAATAAGCAATTATTTTCGTTATTTTAAACAAATGCGTGTGGCATTAAATGCCTGTGTGAAGTGTGAAGGTGATTTCAGCCCTAATGCGGGACTTTTCCACTTCAAACACTCCTGACACACACCAAATCCATTCCTACTTTCACTGTCTCCAGATCCGATGCAAAAATATCCAGAAAAAATTTTAAAAAATGAGTGAGAGTGTATTGTGGGTCTTTAGTGAAGATAAGCAGTGCTGTGTGTGTTATCTTACCAAATTATCCAATTCTGGATTTGAAGAAAATAAAGGTTTTTCAGCGCGAACCTAAAACACATATGCAACACACACACACACACACACACACACAAATCGGGGTTAATAGCAATCGATGAAAAATGTGCAGCGATTTAATAATTGGGGTTTAATGAAATATGCACAAAAATCGCAATCGCGGCCGATCGGGTTAAACACGCCGCTTAGTGCTGGATGAAAATGTAGTTATGATTCATAAAATGAAAGTAGCTTATGACTTGTATCTGTGTTTTCAGCACGCATGGACAGTGGATGTGAGACCTGTTTAGCGAAGACAGCGATGTCCTCGTTGAAGGAGTCCGAGGAACACACATCTCCTCCGGCCACCCCGGGCTCGCGAGGCGTGCATGTGGCCAGCTCACACTTCTCAAACACCAGAGCCAGCAGAGGGAACAGAGGGTGACTGCAGAAACACACACACACACACACCGCGATCAGAGCACGCTCACCGGGGAAACGCGCGAGGAACCGTGTGTGCATTTCGGAGATTCAGCTCGCAGCTTCAAAATCACATCCAGATAGTAGTCGAGCTGTAAATGCAGTTTAATGGGCGATTTAATCACTCCTGAGGTATTAAATATTAAACTGCATTTCCACTCGGCGAGAGTCGCGATCACATCGGGTTTTGTTGCGGGGATTTTAAAAAGTGAACGCTGCGAGCGACCGCTATCAAATCAAGTGCAGAAAGTCAAAAGACAAAAGGAAAAAAAAGGCATAAAAATAAATGTGCACAGCAAAGTGAAATGTATAGAATTCCCTAAAATAGAACCAGCATTTGAGGCAAAGCCCCGTATAATACGCTACTATTAAAGTTCTGGGAAACTGTTACCGCGAGCGGAGGAAGTCCCGGATCCGATAATAATATATCTATAACTCACCCGTAAATTTGATCTTTATCCCTCTTTAGCACGTCGTTGACAGCCGAGCCCATGCTGCCGGGCATGACGTTGGGATGCGGGGCGTGCGTGCCGTAGTGCTGTCCGTGGAGCGGGGGTCCGTGGTTCAGGTGGTGGACCTGCGGGAGCGGCCGCGGCGCGTGAGGGTCCCCGTACATCCCGACCCCGTCCATGCCGCCGTAGTGAGCCAGCTCATCGTACTGGAAGAGAAGCAGAGGGTCAAGAAGAGCAAACACACGCAATACTGGCAAAACGAGAAAAAAGGCGTCGCGCGAGGGTAAAGTTTGCCGCGCGTCATTACCAAAAACATGGTAAAGTTGTGTTTCCCGAGGAGAGTAACGCGTGTCTCGCGCGGAGAATATTCCCAACAAAGTGCGTCAGACTGAAGTGGTTTTGGCGACAGACAGACAGTCGAGGCCTGTGATAGATCGAGTGTTAGTAGAGGTGAGTGTTGGAGATTTGAAACCTACCCTTTGCGCCATCAGCCTGCGCTCCAATAAACCTCTGGATCTGTGTCGTAGATTTAATTTCCCAGTCCGCTCACAAACTCACGCGCCGCAAAGATCCCGTTTTCAAGCAACTCGCCGAATTCTCCTATTCTCCAGTATATGGCTGAGAAAGAGCGCAGGCATCGGGAAGAGTTTTTGCAATTATTCTTCTTCTTTTTCTCTTTGCCCCCCAGAAAAGAAAGGAGAAAAAAAAAAAAGTCAAGCACCAAAACTGAAGGTTACAGCCGGCCCATCAACAACCTGCATGTAACTAAACTGTCGTGTCTCATGGCTTTTTGCCACTCCAGCTGTCAATCAAAGCCAGAGGTTGTCAAGGTAATGAATGAATGATGGTTGGTGATGATGATGTTCAAGAGAGGATGAATCTTTTTAGCCCCGTTTTCATCCCACAAGTCCCTGTCTTCTTTATGCCTCCGGTCCGCTTTCTTGTTTTATTACTACTGTATTTAAAAAAAAAAAAAAAAAAAAAAAAAAAAAAGAAGAAGGGGAAACAGAAGAGTTTTTTAAAAAACGCGGCGGTCCCTCGCTCTCGCGCGCGGTGTGAGATGAGTGAGTGTCAGTGTGTGTTGGCAGGTCGGACGCTCGCGCGCTTATACAACGCAGAGAGTCGAGCCGCGCGCATCGGCGGGAGAATGAAATGACGGAAACCGGAAGTGGCGCTGAGCACAGCCAGTCCTGCGCGAGCTCCACGCCAAACCCTGCGCGAGGCGAGCGAGCGTCGCGAGCGTCCAGTGCGCGAGGGGGGAGCCACGCGCATTCCCCGCGTTCAAACGCCGTCTTTAATGCACAAAAGAAAAATCATTTTAACTCGACTTCGCGTATCGAGTGTCTTGTGAAAATGATTATTTACGCAGACCCCCTTTTAAAAGAAAGTGAACTTTTAAAATAACGAGAAGAGAGCAAAAAAAAAAAGAAAAAGAGAGAGATGTTTTATTGAAAGTGTCTTTTAGTCCAGTCGCGTTGGTAGATATAAACGTGAGCGTGCATCGCGAGCTCAGTTCTCAGAGATCATCAATCATCTGAAGGCCTGAAGTTTCAGAGGAGGAGCGAGTGTATCGATCGCTACAGATGTGGCCCCTAAAACCACAAACAGACCCTTAAAACACTCCTCATCAATGAACATATAGCCCGCATCGTGACATCAGCGGCCATCGATCGCCTTTACATAAATGTCTACATTTAGCGCTGTTGTTTTGTTGTTGAAATCAACTCTTCACGCGCTGGTGGAGATCGAGCAGAACTCACACACGAGGTCAGACACACACTCTCACCCGAACCCCGGCTTATAATGAAGACAGCAATTAAAGCGGATTCATAAATGAGAGAGAGAGAGGAGGGAATGAGCACTAGCGAGTGGACACAGAGCGCGCGCTGGATGACCAGTGCTTCATCATCATCATCATCGCGAGGAAGAGTGCGAGCGCTTCTGTGCACCCACACACACACACACACACGCACACGCGCGCCTGAGCCGACACACGGGTAAGTCCATCTCAGACTTTACAAATCAGCAGGAAAGTGAGCGATCACTGCAGAAAAAAGAAAAGATTTTAACAACTAACTTTATTAATGAGACTGAATAATGCGGGCAAAATCATATAATAAATAAATACACTGAGAAAAATGCATGTTTATTTTCGCTTTGGTTAAATACTTGTACAATTTTAAAGAGTAAGTGTTCCTTTTCAGTTTTAATTAGCTACATCGGGTTTCGGATATAAAACCCGCATTTCCCGACACGCTGATAATCAGAATAATTGCACTCGGGTTCAGAAATGCATGTCTGTGTTAATATGCATGAAACAAAATATTTTGTTTTTATTTATTTGTTTACCTACCGACTGAACAAACTCGTGTGTGGAGAGAAAAGACGAGAAAGCAGAATCAGTGTTTTTGTGTGTGAAGGTGATCGCGGCTCTACCCGTCGGAACATTTCATCTGGTGTCAAATTGAGGTCATTTTAGGGTTAAAGCTCTCGATGTCTCTGCCCAGCTGCGGCCGACACACATCTACACACACACTTTTACACAACCTCTCAGCGTTTTAAACATTTTTTTTTAATTTTTTTTATATATATAATGTAAGTGAAAAACATCTCTCCGAGGCATTTCTATTTAGCCTATGCGAAATAACTTCTGATCTGCTATCCTAACAACTCGATCTCATTTGTTTTAGGCTTTAGCCTATATCATATAGAATTATTTAATGCTGTTTAATTTCGTTTTGGAAAAATTTAATTGAAATAAAGACGAACTGTAACAGATTTCTACGCAACAACAGGTCGAAGAGTTCTCCAGTGCAAACTCGCGTTCTACAATATTCGCGCCGTCAATTTGCTTTCAACGTTTAGGCGAATAAAAAAAAAAAACATGTATTATGATTTCTAGATTAATCATCCGTATTTGCAAATGTTCCGTCATTTCCAGGTTGTTTCTTCTGAAGTGTGTGCTTATGTTAGGCACATTAGTCGTGTGTTTACTGCCTGAGCTCAGCTAAACTCTCTGTGACCTCAGGAACATCCTTCAGTGTGTGTAGAGCAGTGTGTGTAGAGTAGTGTGTGTAGAGTAGTGTGTTGAAGTTTCGAGAGGAACTGTAAATTCTTCTGTGTGAAAGGGGTCTTCTCCTTCATGGCTGCTCAGTGGCGTTATTCTCACGGCACTGTGAGAGAGAGAGAGAGAGAGAGAGAGAGAGAGAGAGAGAGAGAGAGAGAGAGAGAGAGAGAGAGAGTGTGTGTGTGTGTGTGTGTGTTTCTGCAGCTCTTTAGCGACACCTGCCGGATCAATAATGCGACTCTCTGCAATCCTGTGTAAAGTCTAGTTAAATAAAAATAAAAATAAACAGTGTTAAAAACATAAAGCTTACAAACACAGTTTGTTTCGAATGCATTATATTTAATAAACAATTAATTCGCTATTCCTATAGTGAAATAAACAGAGATTACCAAGAGTTTGTCATTAAAAAACATTTTATGGTTGTTTTTATTCGTTTTTTTTTGTTTCGTAAATTATAGTGTTTAAACTATCTTTTTTGTGCTCCGCATTATGTTCTACAATTAGAGAACTTACATTTTCTACGCGATTATTTTTCGCGTGTCAGTTTTGGTTAAATCCATTAATTTAACGGTGGGAAATATATATTTAATCCCTGACAGATAAAATAAAAATACCTATAATTATTTTCTTGAAAATCAAGCGTCTTAGACTGCAGAAGTACCGGCTATTCCGTGCGTGTTGTTATTATTGTCCTCCTCGTCATAGTTAAAGTGCAAATATTTGAAATATAATGGTGATAGCATAGCCTTTATAAGATAAAAAAAACTGTAGCTTCTATATAGGCTAATCATTGTGTTAGCCTACTAAATAAAATAAAAAAAAGTTGAATATTTTGTCGAATTAGAAACGAACAAGCAAAATAAACAAACACACAACAGCCTAAATACAAATTAAATCATTATAGCGCTGACCGAAACCAGGACAACTATTGTAAAGCATCTCGTTTTACATCCTAAAATAGGCGTCAAAATCTGAGTCCACGAGAAGAATATTAAAAAACAGAAATGCGTGGTTATTAATGATCTTGGCTAATAATGTGTTATTTCTGTCGCTCGTCGCCTGTGTTTTAAGAGGCTTAAAGCTCTGACACCTTTATATTATAATCATCACCAACACCTTTAATTTACACTCATGCCGATAATGTCCCGCTCGAACAGAATAATATAAATAGGCTAATATTTCCCGGGTAGGTCAGATTTGCGTTCCCGTTTCTTTGAATGATTTCTCTAAGTTGAAATATGGGAAATAGCCCGAGTGTGTGTGTGCTGACAGAACAGGCCTACAGATGAAGAATTAACCGTGACCAGATTCATCGAAGATTTCGTCTTTATTTATTTTTTCGTTTTGTTTTAAAAGGAACGCGCGGGTTAAAGTTCGATTTCGAGATATCGCGAGGGCTTGTCCACGAGCCACGCCCTCTGACGTCACTGACAGCTCATTAGCGCTAATCACTTGCTTCTAAAGTAGAGGACAAAATCATATCTTCAACGGCTCATATTAGTAATTGGATGCGAGTGTAGGAAGGCTGTATATGGCGTGCAGAAACATCATCATTATGCAGAGTTATGATGCTCCCCTCAGGACTGATGATTTTCCGCTGTTTAAACAAATACCCGACATACATCGCGCGTGTTAAGAAGAAACTGCTTTCCGTTTCCACTGTTAAAATTAAAGGTGTAAAATCCACATTTGCAACGTGTTCAAAAATGCCGTTGCCATCTTTGTTGTTGTTTTGTTTTCCTTACATCTTCCCATTTGACTGCATCTCCCCTGGTTCTGTGAGAGTTTACATGATCAAGCAGAGCCAGGTAATTACCACACACTGTCAAACACTGGGACCAGTGACTCAAACACAGCCTGAAGTATCAAAGAGGAGCGGGACACACACACATCTACATAGGAGACGCCTGAGAGACTGTGGCGCACACACACACACACACACACACACTGAGGACGTGACAGCACAGTTTCATCTTTACATGTCCTGGCCTCAGTTCTGCAGTGACGCACTATAGTAACATTATTTACATTTATATTAATGAAAACTGTGGTTGCTCTTTATCTTAGGGTGTAGGGTTCACTTACCGTTATTATTACTATAGGCTAGTAAGTGCATGTACATGTGCAAATACTTACACCTAAAATTAAAGTCAGTTACTCTTTATTTTAAGGTGTCATTGCTGCAGTGTAATTATGTAATTATGCACAATTTATAGTTATTACTAAATAACTACATGTAACAGGGACACCAGTGCAATTTATACATTTGATTTCTGAGTAATAATATTGAACTACTTGTAAACACCGTAAGATGAGGTTTATTATTGGTTTAGGATTAATTGCATGCAAGTATAATTTTTAGTGCACATTACACATATAACAATACCACTGTAAAAGAAAGTGTTAAAAACATTATATTGTAGCTTTAGGGCTATAGATGCTGTTTCAAGTGTCAGTGCACCAGAAAGAAACACTTATAAAATGAGTTATGAATCGTGGATCATACTGTCCTCTATTTACTGACAATAAACTGATGAGGAAATACAAGTCAAAAGAAAAGCAGTGGTCGGTGTGCGGAAGAATCCCGTCTGGTGGGACGTTTAAGTGTTTAACATTATAAACATGCCCGTCTCCTCCGGCGGGCGATACTTCACATGTAAATATTCACACAGCCCATGAATTATTGAGAGTTGTAAAGAAGTAAAACGTCTGCGCTTGAGCTGGAGGACGGACAGCATGAGTGAATTATCCGAAAGCAAAGATAATTGGGGTGTGAAGAAATAAAAGCCTAGGCGGAAAATAGAAAGCCTACTGGCTAATTCAAATCCTGCACACACACACACACACACACACACACACACACACACATATAGAGGCATGTCTATAGGTGTGTATATATGTCAAATCACAGAGAAAAGTCACACGTCAAAACTTGTCAAAGTTTCTGGGTGAAGCGAGTGTGTGTGTGTGTGTGTGTGTGTGTGTTGTCTGGCCTGTGGCTGAACACTTGATGGACTGGCAGGAGCCGATGGGAAACCAGTTCACCACTCCATCTTCCTCATCCGCCCGTTCTCTGATCACAGCAGCGCAGGTGTGTGTGTGTGTGTGTGTGTGACGACTGTGTTTCTGTGCAGTATTGTGTTGTGTATGTCATTAAACATCATTAAAGATGTAATGTTCACATTGTAAATCTCACTGCCGCTGGAAATGAAGGAATGCATGACTTTAACCAAATCTCCCAGTGCAGCGTCCTAATCCCCACACCACTAGTAAACACTTGTGAATTACTGTACTATAATTGTGCGGGTAAACTAAAAGTCTATTAGCAATGCAGAACACACACACACACACACACGCACCAGGGCACTAAACAGACACAATATTCACAAGTGGCCCGGTGTCTCGGAGGACTTTTAATATGTATGAGCAACATCAAAGAGGAATATCCTGACATGTGGCTCCTCCAAATGATCAAGCGTATTATCACAGATATGCAAATGTCCTGCAGTTGTGTTGTGTTTGTGGAGGCACAGATGATGATGATGATGATGATGATGATGATGATGGTGTGTATGTCCGGTGCAGCACGCTCCCTTCCAGTGTTTCTGGTCAGTCTTTTGTTTCTGAAAGCTGAGTGTTCAGATGCTCGCCACGCTTTCATTACATTTTTATGGGTCATTTAAAGGTGAATAAAAGTCTCCTGACGCGAGCTCAATAACAGGGACGCTGCACACACAGATGAATTAAAATCTGCTTTATTATGAATATAATTCCTTTTCTAAGTGCGTCTTTTGAAAATCTCCTGTAATGTTTACATTTATACCTTTTTAACATTTTATTACGAGTTAGACTGTATGAAAGATGAAGTATGAGACTGGAGGAGTGTTATTGATTACTCGTGACACACATGTACTGACCCGACCAATGAGCAGTGCTGTGTTGTTTCTACACACTCTGAACAATATGTTTTTTTATACCCAAATCCTGGGTTGAGCCTTTTGCATACATTTTGTGTAATGCTTTTTTTTCTTTCAGTTTGTGTAGTTTTTGTGTAACCCAGACACTCTTAAAATGCTGGGTTGTTTTAACCCAACTTTGGGTCAAATATGGACAAACCCAAGCGGTTTTTAATTCCATTTTTAACCCAAGTTGGGTTAAAAATGTAATTAAAAAATGTAACCCAATTTCAATGTGCTAAAGTGTAAAATATGATTGAAAATAAAGGAATTATCATGCAAACTCGTGGTTTTGTGTGGGGTATTTTATTTTTATTTTATTTTTTTTAAGTTTATAGGATTTAAGTTAATCAGTAAAGAATAAAAAGAAGAAGAAAAGGCTACTCTAAAAAAATGCTGGGTTGTTTTAACCCAATTTTGGGTCAAATATGGACAAACCCAGCCACTGGGTTACATTTTTAAATGCCATTTTTAACCCAATGTTTGAGTTTGTCCATATTTGACCCAAAATTGGGTTAGAAGAACCCAGCATTTTTTAGAGTGTAGTACTACAGTAAAAATCAATCAACCCAATTTACTGGGTTAAATTAACCCAACATTTACATTTATGCATTTGGCTTTGGTACGCTTTCATCCAGAATTTCAAGCCACACATGTGCATTGTTATCAGTTCTTGCTTTCCCTGGAATCGAACCCATGACTTTAGCGTTGCAAGCGCCGACGCTCTACTGTTTGAGCTACAGGAAACCAACACGTATTCAGTCTTACATTTACCCAGCCCACCCAATTTGGGTTGTTTTTAACCCAGTATAGGAAAGAGGGCATATTCTTAAACATAATTTGTAATATTCTAAATAATGATTGTACCACTGAGACTTCCGTGAGTCCGCGACTATTTCCATCATTCTGATGAAGCCGAAAATTCTATCTAAGCCACCGATGTGATGTTACGTGAGTCTGCAGGTGACTTTACCCAGGCCCGGTCGCTGCTGTAAATAAGCAGGCCGTCTCTGGACACACACACACACACACACGTGTGGATGGCGTCTGAAGTGAGCGTGGGTCGTGATTGGCCCGCGCGGATCCGTCTAGCGGCGTTGATCTGAGTCGCTGCTGTCAGCGGTCCGGCACTGATGGAATCATCCTTTTGTTCCTTGAAGCAGTCAGTGTCTCTTCACCCAATCTTGTATTCTCCTTTAATAGTCAGTGGTAGTTAATTATTAAAGGTATGTATTTGAATTATAAATATACTAGTTATACAGAAGTAGGCAAAGCAGGCACAGCGCCTCAGGCTAAATTCCTCCATTAGCCATTATTTTCCAGTCTCCTGCCTCCTGGTTTTATGTCATCTCCAAAAACAGCCAGGCGTTGCTTTGTACTCGCCGTCTCCTCCCCATATGACCAGCGAGAGAGAGAGAGAGAGCGAGAGAGCCCTGCATACACACTCCGCGGACGCCTTGAAGAGGGTGTCATACCTGTCCCACAGTTAATGAATGCTTTCTCCACGTGTCCCAGGATTCAGGAGTCTCCTGAAAGCGGATGGCGAGCGCATCATTAGGCGGGTCGGGGACAGCGCCACCCACAGGACACACGCCGTCCTGCAGCCGAAACAAAGAACTTTTGCACGTTTTCTCTTTCTCCGGTCCGACTCTCTCTCCCCCGCTCGACCGCATCTCCTCCACCTCTGGATCCATGAATAAAATACGACGCGCTCAGAATAAGAAGATGGCACTGCAGTAACTGTCAAATCCAAGATGAAATAATAAATTCAGGAGCCTTTTTCTGCTCTGTTGAAGGAAACTTTGTTCTCCTCCTCGTCTGCGTTCGCTCGTTTGCTGATATTTCCACCCCGTTTCGGAGTTTTTTCTCTCCTCCTTCAAGCGCTTCACTTTTCAAGGTTTCATGGAGTGATTGATGACATCGGGTGTAAAAGCAGTGCGAGACTGTTTGTAACCTCTATCAGAACATTCATCACCTTATCGTCTTTAAATGCAATGAATACGGTGTAATGTTGGGCTCGGTTGATTGGAGTCTCCAGAATGGGTCAAAACCTCAGCAGTGTACAGTGTGTTCGGCCTGTCCTTTGAATGAAACATTTTCCTCAGGTAGTTGATCACATGTGATCTCTGAACCCCAACATGACCGTGGTGTAGGAACCGCGGTGGGACGATGAGCTTTCCTACACTTCACCATGCGTGTGTGATCTCACATTAACCCTTCATCTAATAAACCACTCATCCTCTCATCGCTCTTTTAGAAACAGACACAGCATTGACTGTGGAATGACAAAAATAAAGAAAACACAAGTGTAGCCCAGTGGTAAACTTGGGTATTATAGTGCACTGGGAGTCGGTGGGTTGTTATGAATCTCTCTTACTCTCAAAAGTGGAGTAAAAAAAGGGTAAACGATTATTTACTTGGAAAATAATAATGAGGAGACACCTGACTTCTAAATAAGCAAATATCAGTTAATTTTACGTAATTAAAAGGAGAGTGATATTTGGTCATTTTATTTTGTGACAGTAATTTAAACAAAAGTTTATATTATTTAGTTAAATAATATTTGGAAGATGTTTTAGGCCGTTTAACTTTTTATTACTTTATTTTTACTGTTTTTATGTAACTAATTGTATTTTGAGTATTCACGCTGTATAGCCAATAGTGTTTGGCGGAAGAGATGCACGTGACCTGGTGAGAGAAAGTGCTGGAAGTTTAGTTTTTTTCCGCGTTTCCCGCTGTACCCGTGTGGAGCACGAGACGCAGGCACGGGAGAAGAGAAATAAGACGTAAAGAAGTGCGGGTAACTCATGAATCGGGAGGACCGCGAATCAGAGAAGTGGACCGCGGACTCGAGATGTTGGTGAACCGAGAGACAGAGTGATAAACGACGCTGAAGACCCGTTTGACGGAGCGCGAGAGACAGAGCACGAGCTGTAATCTGAGGTAACTTAACTGTTTAGTCGAGATCGCTAGCCACCGTGGTGTTTTGCTGGGCGGAACTGACGGTTAATCGCACCTCACATGAACAGCTGGACCGAAGTTTTCGACGCTCTCAATGTTTTTTCAAGTGTTTGTTCACCGCACTCAATGTTTTGCGAGACCCAAACAGGCCTGCAACATGTTTTTCTCCATTCAGTAAAACGGGACCGTGAGTAAACTGAAACGCGTGTGAATGTGTGTGTGAGTGGGCCCACCACTACATTTGCTAGTATCTGTTTTAGGACACTTGACGGTATTGTTTTGTTTATTTTAAAGCTTTCTGTGTATTTTCCTGTGTGGATAGAGATTTAGTCCAAACTGTTATACCACTTGTCTCAAACATGTGAGTGAAACTATTGTAGCTAGCTAAATAGCTTAAAGGGGCTATTTTTCAAGTGTTCAGAGAAGATTTTGGTCATTTATTTTGTTTATGGGTTAATATTGAGATAAGGGAAAAGCTTTTATATTTCTTTTGTGAATTTCTGTGATCTAATTAAACCAGGGTTTTACCCTATTCTTTTTGTTAAAATATAAACCATCTCTGGGTCTCCTTATTTCTAAAATATTTCATTATTAACAGTTGTGTAGCTCAAATACACTTATTAGGTGCACCTTCGTGGTATCCACCTGACTACGTCGAACCCAAGCACCCTCCATTCTTAAGTAATTCACAGAGTGGTTGTACGGGTGCTACACAAGGGCAATTTGTCAAAGAGCCAACAACATTCGTAACACACAACACCCGGTTTATTTGACAACTAGATTAGGAAAAGTAAAACTGTTTAACAAGTTGGCGATTTCATATGAATCAGGTCCTTCATCAGAGCTGGAGTGTGTGTGTGAGTGTGTGTCCAGACGCAGGTCCTTCATCAGATCTGGATACGGCAGACTGTGGTAAACCTTGGGATAAACAGAGAGACTAATATTAGCGTAGACGCCATCCTTCTTTTGATGTACCAAGTAAATCAGGATTTACGGGACGTGTTCCCGGTTCCGACTGATCTAAACTATAATTTGAGTTTGGGAAGTCTATAGTGTGTTATGTGTGTGCTAGGCCAGAGAGATGTGTGTTTAGTCTAGATTTGAACTGCCAGAGTGTGTCTGCTTCCCGGACAATGTTAGGAAGATTGTTCCAGAGTTTTGGTGTTAAATAGGAAAAGGATCTCCTATTTCTACAACAGGATCTAATATTCTCGGTATTATCAAGTGAGATCGCAATAGACGTGAAGGACTATACGGCATTAAGAGCTCGCTCAAGTACTGGAGCTGAACCATTCAGTGCTTTATAAGTAATCAGCAATATCTACACAATGTTTACTCTCTAAAAACTCCAGAGGTAAAAACTAACCCGACCGTAACCCCAGCGCTGGGTTCTCATTGGACAGAACACACTCTGGGTTGATTTGAAGTGCTGGGCTTTACCATTTGACCCAGATTTCTGGGTCATTTATTTGACCCAACCAGTGGGTGAAACCAGTGAACTCTTTAACCCTTAACAATAGAATCAGCAACAAATATTTGTTATAAAATAAAACAAATGTAAAATAATTATTGTCTCTGTAATACAATAAAGAGGCCAATGTAATATATACAGTATATACATATATATATATATATAGACAGACACAATATTATACTACAGGTACAGTAGTATACATTATCTGTAGAGTACTGACAGAACCAGGCTAATATGGTCATTCTTCATGGTTTTGGTAAGAACTCCAAAAAAAGGTCCACCTTGATTAGGATAATAGAAATAAACATACAAATATGAATTAGGAAAAAAATAGTCAATTGAATTACCATGAGAGAGTGTGGGACGCCTTCGGTCCATCAACAGGAACCCGTGAAGAAGAAGAACCATCAGAACCAGATCATAACCCAAACTGAGCAGAACACAATCTATATTTATACCTGATGGACACGTGTCATTCACACAACTCATGAATGCTTGAGTGTGTTTATGGAGGGAGTGTGTTTGATGGTTCCTGTCATGAAACCGCCTCAAAGATCTCCCTCTGTCGCTCTCCCTCCTCCTGTCTTCTGTGGAGATCAAGGTAAGAGTCGTGATAGGACACATCCATGAGGTAAAGACATCAGAACGATGAGAAATTAGAGTCAACACGGTGATGGATTATCCAGGCAAGGGATATTCCCTGGAGAATAGATGGATAAATGGATTTAAGTTAAACAAATCGCATTGTGGTTTTTGCCTATATTTAGCATTTTATATGACAAGTTTGTGATTGCTGAACACTCTCCTCCTCTCTGTCATTGGTCAATCAGTCAGATAGTCCCGCCCCTAACTCCTGTCATTGGACAATCAGTCAGATAGTCCCGCCCCTAACTCCTGTCATTGGTCAATCAGTCAGATAGTCCTGCCCCTAACTCCTGTCATTGGTCAATCAGTCAGATAGTCCCGCCCCAAACTCCTGTCATTGGTCAATCAGTCAGATAGTCCCGCCCCAAACTCCTGTCATTGGTCAATCAGTCAGATAATCCCGCCCCAAACTCCTGTCATTGGTCAATCAGTCAGATAGTCCCGCCCCAAACTCCTGTCATTGGTCAATCAGATAATAACATGTTTAATTTATATAGCGCCTTTCCCAAGCTCAAGGACGCTTCACAATAACAGTAAAGAACAAACAATCAGTTCATACTTAATTAATGGACAATAAGAGCCATTGCAGTTCCATATCACACTCCAGTCGAATACAAACAGAAACGCAAAACAACACTATGTTTCTGGTTTGCATGAGATGTGGACTCAAAAATCCTGATCTTCAGCCAAAGAAGCAATTGAACAAGCTCTAGTGTGTGTGAACGAGTCTATGAGTGAATCTGGAGATCCTGAGAAACATGAGGAACAGTCCTCAGATGCTGTGTGAAACATCTCAAACACACTCATTACCAGTTATTACTCCATGATCTGAGTGACATCATTAACTGACGTGGGTGAACGGCCGATTCTGTTTAGTATAGCGGATCTCTCCAGCGATGTGTCGTCCTGTGATGGTGAAGGACGAGTTAATGTCGTCGTACGGGAAACACACTCCAGGACTGTTTCCCAAAAGCATCGTCACTCAATGGTTGCAAATGATGTTACCAAATTTCCCCAAATCATAGCACTGAATGATCAGATATGCGAGTACCATGGTGTCCAATGAATGACCCGGTGTGGTAAACATCATTTTTGTGTAGTTATGATCAGATATGATCTTCTGCCATTAAAGCCAGGCAAGGATGAAGAGAGACACAGACAGACGCATCAGAGCCGCTTCCTTCGCTGGCAGTCATTTACAAGAACAGAATAATTTAGGAAAGAGAAAGTTGGAGCCGACTGTCAGACGTGTGCTTGATGGCCTCTTTGTCTCAACACCGACTCTAATTGTGTGTGACGTTTATAAAGAGTTTCTTTTCATTTCCGTGAGTAAGATAGCAGTACATCCTCTCGCCATCTGGCGAGCAGCGTGAGGAACACGATCTGTTTGAGAACGCTCCACTCCGCTATGAAGATATAATTGTTCCCCCTTAGCTGCAAAACAAAGAGCAATCAAACTATGTGTTTATTTTTAATTTCCCATGCATGTTTTATCACGGCATATGCCAGCGCGCGCTACGACGGGAGGACTCTATCTACACGCGAGAAATGACTTCTGCCGTGCGTATGTGTGCGAGATAAAGACGGCAGAGCATTATCACACGGCCTATTATCGTCAGTCACGCTCCGGAGTGTCCGGGGAGGATGGCGAGAGTTCAGGCCAGCCCCGAAGCGGAGGAATCCAGCCCGGACTCGGCCTGTCACTGCCTAATACGCCGATTGATTCATGGGGAGAATGGATCAGGAATATGTCCCTCTGTCAGACTATTACCCGTCTCAGCCCATCTCTCAGGCTGTAATGATGACGGCTGATAGCCTCTAATTTCTGTTCTTGCTGAGCAAACGCGGTTTCGCCCGCCAGACCCCGAGCAGAAGCAGTTCTGGAGGACACCCGTGACTCTCTTCATGAACAATAACCACTGGCATCATCAGGTCATGCTCTTCCAGGGCTTTCATTTCATTAAAAGACTTTCACGGATTTATTGTGTATAATATCTAATATCGGTTATCTAGAGGTGTTTGCATGTGGTGCAGTTAAAAGTTAAAAGTATTTGAGGATGAGAGTCTGGTAAGGTTTGTATGGTTTAGACGGGGAGTGAATTGAAGACGAAGTAAAGAAGAGTTGATCCCCCTTAACACTTGAACTCTATATCTTTAATGATAAATACCCAATTGACAGATTCATGCATTTATTGTATTAGGATATATTTTGAAAAACAAAACAACACCAAACTGTACATTTAAACAAGTTTAAAAATAATATCATTAGTAGCCTACTGCAATTATCGTATATTCACAACAGATAAGCTATATTTCCATACCCATTCATAACAGAACAATAATAACAACTATCTTATTTAGATATTCTGTTGACAGTGAGAGAGTCAAAGGTCAACCCTGGGAAATTTAACAAAAGAATACCACAAAATTCAGTGGCAAAAATATGTTCATGTGTAATTTATATAAAAAACAATTTAAATGAAAATACAGACACTTTTAGGAAAAGTCAGGTACCAGCAGGATTTTTTTTTTCAACTAAGTTATCGCAGATATAAAATTCTAAATGCTCAAATTGACCGTCATGGCTGTTCCAGTGTTAAAGAACGTCAAAACAAGATGTAAGGCCAGTGTCATCAGGTCATGCTCTTTCAGGGAGTTTCCTCCACTCAGAATACCCTAGAAACACCTAACAACACCCTGGTAACCATTCAGAACACCTTAGCAACACTCAGTTAACCACTCAATATACTAGAAACACCTAACAACACACTGGTAACCATTCAGAACACCCTAGCAACACTCAGTTAACCACTCAGAATACACTAGAAACACCAAACAACACCCTGGTAACCATTCAGAACATCCTAGCGACACTCAGTTAACCACTCAGAAAACCATAGAAACACCTGACAACACCCTGGTAACCATTCAGAACACCTTAGCAACACTCAGTTAACCACTCAATATACTAGAAACACCTAACAACACACTGGTAACCATTCAGAACACCCTAGCAACACTCAGTTAACCACTCAGAATACACTAGAAACACCAAACAACACCCTGGTAACCATTCAGAACATCCTAGCGACACTCAGTTTACCACTCAGAAAACCATAGAAACACCTGACAACACCCTGGTAACCATTCAGAACACCTTAGCAACACTCAGTTAACCACTCAGAATACACTAGAAACACCAAACAACACCCTCCTAACCATTCAGAGCACCCTAGCAACACTCAGTTAACCGCTCAGAATACCCTAGCAACACTCAGTTAACCGCTCAGAATACCCTAGAAACACCAAACAACACCCTGGTAACCATTCATAACATCCTAGAAACACTCAGTTAACCAATCAGAATACCCAAGAAACACCTAACAACACCCTGGTAACCATTCAGAAAATCCTAGCAACACTCAGTTAACCAC